ATTAATTAGAGAGATGGAAAATTACGTTTTTGCCCTTATGGGTATGATTGATATGTGTGGGCCAGGACCGTCCAGTGTGGACGATCTAGTGTGATGATGGTAATTCCCGAGAGGATTACGGTGAGCAGATGACTCATGTGGATCATTCGGACTTCATGTGGAAGTCGTTGTGGAGATAAGTTGTAGTTCAAAGGAACGTATACGACTTATCCGAATTCCGACGGGAATCGGGTTCTAGGGTGAACCGTATGTATTTGTGTTGGTACCACATACATTGTGTCGAGTCAGTGAGTCACATTACATATTCGTATTTGATTATGGGCTATTAATGCCGAGTGATTGAGATGACACGTGTATGTGCGTTGCATGTGTATGATTGTACGTGTGGTGTGTAACTACTCCTTAGCATGTCTATTTCACCGCTTAATTATTGAATGTAGTTCTCACCCCTTTTCTGTTTGTTGCGTTTGTGCTCCTTGGGGAATGCAGATGACCAGGTACCTGAGTAGTGCTTGGAGTGTCTTGATATTTGATTGCCCTAGAAGTCGCTCTGATACGTAATATGAGATGATGGGATTACGTTATATTTTGCTTATTTTCTTGATTAATTGTTATGTATCTTTTATCTGTTGGATTAATGATGTATAACCACCGGTTGTGGGGATTATGTTTAAACATTGATTTGATTCCGCTGATTTATTGAATGACCTTGTTGAAATATTGTGGAAAGCATGAAGTGACTTGATACTTCATTGAATGGGAAAAATGTCTACGTGACATCCTACATGTTTTGAAAACTCTGATGTATTTTATTTAATATTCCTATAATATGCGTACGGGGTAGAGTGAGGTGTTACATAGAACATTGAAGAATCTAACAAACCCATACCAACTTCCCATAACTTCCATTTTGAATGGAATGATCACCTCGTCTGTCTCTCAGAAACTCTTGAATTCATCATACATCTCCTTAGCTCTGAACTCCTTCAGAACTGATGTGAAAAAATAAGGTATACGCATATGCTGATTTGTAACCTGGTTATATTGAGCTATCTTATCTCATTTATAAGAATGCATTGCTTTCCCCCTTCTGAACTAGACTTGCTGCCACTCCCCTCCCATTGATGCTGGCAGAAATTGCAATTACTCAATCTTTTTGTTATGACTCAAGCCTATTAATTTTTGTTTTTTTATCTGTGCTGCAACTACATATTACTAATGCAGAAATCCCACATGCTCCCATACGATTAAGAACATTTTGAATTTTAACAGAACCTAGTTATTATGATTTGAGTCAAGTAGAAACAAATATAATAAAGCTAGAGTTAGAGTTATATTACATAGGTATCGCACCTCGAAAAAATACGACCTCACGAAGATACTTTACAGATGGACTAACAGAGAGTCGCCACCGAACTTTATTTATTCATAAAGATGGAAAGAAAAAATATCGGTAAAATCCACATAAGGAAAAGCATAGGACATGGTCATCGCAAGCAATGTCGGGTTTGAAAGTCGGTTATGCAAGCGTAAGGTATTAGCATCCCTCATATTTGTTGTACTCAACGGGAACCATCTAGGTTGTCTATGCGCGAATGAGTGTGATTATCTAAAGGTCTCCTTACGAAAGGGGAAAATGGATGATTTTTTATTAGGGTGCTTGCCAAGGATGAGAACCCTCGTGTCTATGTATCTCCATTGTGAAATGAAGAATCAGAGCTCCGTAGTTCGAAGTAGAAAATAAGTATTTGTTGGTTGATTTTACCTTGAAAAATGGAATTCTGAGTGATGCCCTAAGGTGCAAAAAGAGTTTGATGAGTTGATGTTGTTTTTAGGATTTTTGAAAGAAATGGTTCTTGATTAGGATTGCACTAAAGACTATGGGTAGAGGCGAATATTTCAAATCACCAAGCCAAATGTCTTGTGTCCAAAATACTTAGAGTGAGTGTAGGAAAACTCCATTCTCACTCCTTCTCCACCACTTAAGGCTCGTGGCGCGCAATCCTAATCGTATCTTATTGTGTTTTTAACTTATTGAGAGAATGCCACTTGATGTTGGATTAAGGGTTTATTTAGTTGATTAAGAAAATGTTTTGGTCAACGGGAAGGGTTGATGGCGATGCAAAAGCAATCGACTTACAAAGGGTGAATGCAAAATGGAGTGTGATTGGTTAAGGGTTAATGGTAATGGAAATCCTATTGAGTTTTTTTATGAAAAATGCTTGACGTTGGGTCAAGCTTATTTGTGTTCTTTTGAAAAGAGGTGATTGATTTTATTATTGCATTAAAGACTACCTAGGCAAAAGGAAACAAAGTGGAAGTGGTAAAATTGTTACTACGTGTGCACTAGAAAAGTTGGCTAGTATTTTAAACGACTAATTAGAAGTAATTAATCGAGTAAGCCTCATTGTCAGAAAGCCCAATAGTAAGCTATGAATGTTGTGCAAGGTGTCATAAGATAAGACAATAAATAAATCCAATCCAAATCTCCTTTGCTAGAGTTTAAGTACAAAGTCCAAAACTCCATGATACTAGGGATTGTAACCATAGTCCAAGCTTAGATGTTTTAATCATTTTATCGTATTTTTATATTTTTTTTAATAAGATAAGAAAACAAAGATAAAAAAGGTGAAGATGACATAATGACAAAGGCACAAATGATAAATGAGCAATGAAATAAATTGCAGAAAAGTAAATGACGGAAAGTAAATAGCAAGAAAATAGAGAGTGAAGATGTAAAATTTAGTTGTTAGTTTTTAATGGTTGTTGATCGAATGATCGCTTTCTCGAATCGGGACCAATTTAGCGCTATGTTAAGCAATCATAACATGATCTATTATGAAGATCATACTATGGGAAGCCGGTCAATAATAATATTTGTGTTAAAACATGCTAGAGAAATGATATATGAGTTATTCTCTTAAAGTCATACCGCACAAAAAGAAAAAGAGAACGATCTCATCTTAATCAAGAACTTTCGTTAATTAATCATAGACAATCTATCACTATCCAAAAGTATAGAGAATGATTTAAACGATCATTCAACCACTTGTTTGAAATAATGAAGATTCAACATCTTTGAAAATCAACAATCCATGATCCTTAGATTTCATCAACCAAAATGAAAAGGAAAAAACAAGATGAAAGACAAAAATAAATGGATAAAAAATAGATTTAAGTAAAGAATTACATGGGCTCCAAAGCCCAAGTCCATAATACAAGGAAATGGATTTAAGTCAACAAAACACACCAGCAAGGGTAAAATGAAATCATCTTCTTCTCCTCTCTGACACACAAAGATCCCTCTCTTACGTTAAAAAAAATTGTTTTTGACCAAAAGCACCGCCGCGCCTGCACGCCTTACGACGGAAGCCAAATTGTCACCACCTTCACATGACCGCATTACTTAGCTCAGAACAATCCCACCATAAACACAACGAGATGGACAGAGATCGACACAAAATTAGGTAAGAAAACATTTTTGAATTTCACCTTTTATGACTTGTTGTGTGTTAGGAATTTGTTGTTGCGAGATGTTGTTGTTGATTGTGGTTGATTGAAAGTTGAGTGAAGATGATTGAAGTTAAAGGTTATGGGATAAGTTTGAAGCTTGAAGAAAATTGAGGATAAATTCAGGCAGGGTAATTTTGGCTTGAGAAAAGCTTGATAAATTTGAGAGAGTGAGGTGTTATTTATAGGAGGATTGAGGTGACAATTAGAATTAGAATTTAGAGTGAAGCTTATGCTGTTTTGATTGTGTATGTCGTTTTTGCGTTTAAGATGCAGGTCATGTGTGTTTGGAAGTTTCACTCACGTTTTTGGAAGTTATTTTGCAGTTGCTTTTGGAATGTTGCAATTAGTGCTTTGCCGTTTTGCAACGTGATGTTTTGGCTGATTTTGTGCTTGTATCTTTGGCATTTTGCAGCTGGTTATGCGAAGTTGCAGCTCGGTTTGTTGTTAAGGCTTGTATGTGTTGCATTTTGCTCATGTTGGTTGGCTTTGTTTTAAATGTAGAACCAAACTCCAACATTCTTGACTTCTTCACTTGAAATGAATGAGACCTTGAATTAATCCATAAATCAATCTTGATCTTTCAATGAATTAGAGCCTTGAAAATGAATCCACCTTGATCTTATGTCAATTTGAATCTTTATGAGCCAAAGCCTTTACTGTGAAACTCCTTGAGCTAGAAAATGCCTTGAAATCAGAGGGTTATGACTTGTGATATGAACTGTACTACACAAAACCCTAACTGAAAAGTGAATTGGAAGTACTATGAACTTTGCCATAGCCTGATAACTTGATAATGAAGCAAACCACTTGTTTAACCAAGATTAGGTCAAACTCGTTTTAACTGAATCATGATTAAATGACCATTAAATAGTGCAAATGTTTGAGACAAAAAGATAAAAGGGTAGGAAAATTCGGGGTATGACAATAGGGTGTTTACTGGTGTTTTTAACAAACAATTACGAATTTTAATTCACTTGTAAGATCAAACTCGAATATCATATACAATATTTTGTGTAAAACATTTGAGAGTAATAGTACCGTGAATAATGACTAACTCTTTAAAATCCAACACGCATACTACTACATGAACCTTTATGTGAAATATCCTACACGTATACTACTTTACGACGATTGTCTTTTAGTTTGTTTTTACGTGTCATTAGCACTTGAACTGCTCCAAACCGCCATGGCTGTCGAAAATGTTTTTAAACCCCTTCAACACCTTTGTCAAAAAGGTCTATATAATAAATATATAATAAAATATAATTTATTATAGAAAATATGACTTCGTTATCAACACTTTGCCATTATTTAACTATATATCTCGAGATATCACACGACCATGTCGAAATGCTATATAAAAATCTCATAGTAACATATGGCTAATTGGAACTCAAAAACTTACTAATTAATGGTTCTTATGTTTAAGATTCATTAAATAAAACAATTTTGCACACATTAAGGTCAAATGATATGTACATTAGTATTTATCTTCTAATAAAATGAACATCCCCTGATCGTTGATCAACATGTTTTATCCATCGCTTATGCTTTACCGCCGATACAGAGTTCTCACCACCACCGGCAGCCGATAAGTGTGCCATATGAATTCCCTTCCCCACCGGAAGAAACACCGAACGAACCAGTCGTCTCGATTCCCTCGCGACCACGCTCCGAAATATATAACTAGAGTCCATCTTGGAAATAAAATTGGCATTCTTACATATCAACACAACACCTTTACCACTCAACCTTGCTAACCTCAACACTCTCGGAAAATCCTTCCTTCGAGAATCAACAACCAAAAAATCTATTCCAACTAAACCATCCATCACTTCCTCCGGTTCCCCGACCATAATCTCCGGTGACACACCCACTTCTCCCATGCTTTTTGCATACTCTAATCTCGACGGCTCATCAGGAACTATACACACGTGTCTTCCACCTGTGTGACGGCTCGCTATGGATAAACCAACACTGGTTGGAATAACTCCGCCACGTGACCATGTTTCAACTATCAGCTGCGCGTTCCATCCCGCCGCCATAGCGGATACCATCTCCGCCACGCCGGATTCGTTGGAAAGCTGACACTGAGTGGTGCTCACAGCTTGAACAGTGTCGATGTATGAGTTAGTAGCTCTCTCTGGAGACCAAACTAGTTTCATTTCTTTCATGCTTTTGTTGTTTGTTGTTGTGTTTGTCGTTGGAGTGTGGACTGAGAATTAGGTGTTGGGGTATATTTATTAGTGTCGTGAATGAACAAGACTGTTGACTTTTCGCGTATCGTCTTCAATAATCAAACAACGTATTGGATTACGAACGCGGTGGATTTTTCACTTTTCAGTAATTGAAATTTCTCGGTGCTTTCTTTCTTCACATGGACTCGGTGCCCCTAACAGGAGCCTATTTACCAAAATGGCCTAACTTGGTAAAATTTTCTAACACCTTTTCTGTTGGTAGTTTTGGAGTTTAATGATAATTCTGTACCTGTTCATAACTTTTTCTTCAAGCACAGTGGACCCGGACGGTTGCACTGATTGCCAAAATACCATAAAATATCCTAGTGCTATATATAATATCAAATCTTAATTACCTAATTTAGTTTTATAATGTATTTATGATTACGAAAGCTCTTAATAACTATTTTGTTTTATAATGCATTTTATTATACAAAATTTATCATTTTAAATAATCAAAAATTACACTGTAGTCAATCTTAACCATTTCAAAGAAAACCTAGGTACGTTGAAAAAGTAAATGTTTTTTATTGAAATTCAAAATTACATTACATTTTTCATAAATATTACAAATGAATAGAAGATAGTTAGAGTAAGTCCAGACAAAGGTAGTTAAAGAGAAAAGGAATGGAGGATGGAAAACATGAAGAATAATACTAGTAAGAGTTAGACCAGGGCATGCAAATTAGCAAATCCAGAAAGTAAAAAGTCAAATGGATATCGTTTAAGATTAATCTAAGAAAGAAATAGACTTGTCTTTATAGTTGAGATTAATTATGAGGTCACCGCATTCGCAATGGATAATTATGGATTCCAATTTACTTGGTTATTATTTAATCCCACTATTAAATAGAGGATTACTGCATTAAAACTCAATATGGTCAATGTTTGCTTGGTTGCTACGATTACCATCACAATCACTCCACAAAACCATTCATGTTACTTAACGTCACCCGTTAGGTTCAAATCTTAATCTTAATTGACTAAATGGAGTCGTATCCATGCTTTTATAGATATAAGAGAGGGATTTCATTCTTCAATCATTCATAATTGTACATGGTGTATTTTTTATTGTCTATGATAGTATTCTTTCATTAATAATTGAAACTGGTCTACATGAGTTTATAACTTTGACATATTTAAATGTGTAAGATCTAACCTATTTAATAAAAATGTTAAAATTAAATAAAAAACTATTTAATTAAATATGTCAAATGTATATTTATATCGACTTTTATATATAGAGGACATATTTAATAAGAATGTTACTTTTATGTGAGAATAGTAAAAATAATTATTAACACTTAGATTTAAAAATAAATTGTTGAAATTAAAATATTCATTTAATGAATAAATGTATCTCTTTTATCATTTAATTGAACATGACATAAATGATAAAAGAAACATACCTATCTCAATCATTTATTTTTAAATCTAATGACTAATAATTATTTATATCATTCTCATGTAAAAGTAGTAATAATTATTCCTAATTATTCTTAACATGTGAATATGTTTGAAAATAAACAAAATACTCTCTCCGTTTTAAAATGATTGTCGTTTTAGAGGAAAATTTTTGTATCAAAATGATTATCGTTCTCACTTTTTAATGTAGTAATAATTATTATATTTCCAATTGTGTCATATAATTATTACTCTGTACAATATTTTCAAGACATTAATAAGATTAATTTAGTAAAATGCAATATATTATGACAATATCATTGCATTCCTTAATCTGTATGCAAAAACCTTAAACGATAGTCATTTTAAAACGAAGAGAGTAGTATATAAAAGTCGTGTTGTCTATTTAAAAAAGAATAGGTAAAAAATTGATTATTTGAAAAGAAAAAAAACTTATAATATGTCATAAAAATTTATTGTAGGTCAGACTTAAGTTTTCTAAAGCCTGACATAACCTATTCTAACCTCTATCTTCCCTTTATTTTATATTTTGTGATGGGATATGACATGCATTTGATCACTACGATATACTCTCTCCGGTCTCAAATATAAGTAAAAAAAAAATTTCATGGTCTTAAATATAAGTAAAAGTTACCCATAATTATAACATTCAATGTCATTATTTCAGATATGTTTTTTTTTTTTTTTTATTTTTACATTTCTATGTTTTTAATAATTTATTAAGTAAAAAGTAGGGATAAAATTAGAAAAAACGTAAGATTTAAATGCATTTATATATTTTTCTTAAAATGTGAGTTTTTTTTAAAGTTGCTTATATGAGAGTGGAGTGAGTACATGATTTAGATATCATTAATGAATAATAAACTTAATGACAGTTCAATTAAAAAGGAAGAACATGAAAAATAACATTGATATAAATGAGTGGAGAAACCTAACATTGATGTTATTGTATGTAAAAATAGATCCAATATTTTTAATAAGTATACACACTCATGTATCTGAATATCTTGTTTTAAAAAGTAGATACATAAATGTCTTACACTTTTCTAATTGAACCGAACAATAAAGTTAATAGATAAAATTTACCTTTGCATCTTGGATAACGATTTTCATATGTTCACGATTGTTACATTCCTTGATAAACCAAGAGTTAACAACTCTTATAGGAAGCTTGTAGAGTTGCATCCCTTTGACTAAATCATGAATTAAATCAAAGTTTCGAGACATTTTTAAGAGTGATTGAAATTGTTTTGGACCACTAGCAAGACCCAATTTAGAAAGTCCAATAAAAAACAACACACAAAAAGGCATGTTGAACAAGTGAGACCATATTAACGATTCTAGCCTCCAGCGTAGTTTCCACCGTTAGATTTAATTGGACAATAATATGTGTGAGATGCTTATTCTCACGAGAAAATTTTAACCACCTATGCCATATAAAGCAAAACACACACCATATAGAGTAGACTTTCTCTCATTCACACTCAGACTACTTACTCATTCAATCATTGAGTTAGGTGTTGAAGTACTAACCTTGTAGATCCATCCCATTCCACCATATCGAAAACTTTATCCATCGCATCAAACTTTGTTCATCCTAATTCCTTCTATTTCTGGTTCCTAATGTAACACTAGCACCATTTTTGGAAATCAAAATCTGATACCCGCAAAAATTCCCCGAGAGACCATTGTTTCTTCACTAAAAATTGTCAAGCTCTGGTCTCCTTCTCTACTTGTTCGTATCGCCGATTCAATCCTTATAATAATGGCAACCTTGAGAACCATTCAATGACATTATTACAGCAATTGACGCCACCGTCAACATTCCCAATCTTGTAAGGGAATCTCTACCTCCTTATATGGTTGAAAACGATCCTATCTTAACGACTTATTTTCCAATTCCTACACCATAAAATTTGGTCCCTCCAAGGATTAGCCAAGGAACCTTCCAAATTTTTCACACGTTTCAACCTTCTTTACAATCATTCCGATGTTAAGCATCAAAGCAGTCCTGGACATGAGATGTTGCATAATATCCAGCAATTGCAATCCATTTTAAGAACTCTAAGGGAAAACGATATGCTAAAAAGTATTTACAACCTAGTGCAGCAACATAATTCACACCTCCACGCTGAAGGAATACTCTAGATTGAAGAAAGCAACCTAGTGCATGAAACAGTTTTGCACAGCAAGCAGAGAATCAAACTAGAACTTATCCTTGTCGACACAACTTTACTACAAAGGGAGACCCCTAGATTGTCAGACCCTAATCTACGTTGAGAACATCATACTTCAGTCGTGGATCAAGAGGAAAATGCGAGGTTAAACACCACCAGATGATTGTCATCATTTTCGATTACAATCACACCACTCCTAATGCTAAAGCACATGCTCATGACCAAAAGAGAAAGTGTTTCCAATACGTATTCTCGATAGAAGGATCCTTATATTTATTGAAAACCCTCAAATATAGAGAGTTATGAAGGGATCGAGGATCCAAACAGATATAATGAACATATAATATTTCCATTAAATTTGAAATAATGTTACACCCAAGGCATAAAAGTCTGGGAAGCATTGTAGGAAATAAATTAATTTTAAAATAAGTAAATCATGTCGAAACATCTGGAGTCGAGGTACCAGGGCCACCTTCTTCAGTTACCCTATAAGCAGGCTAAAATGAGTCAAACATCTCGACGAAAAGTATGGCATAAGGACAGAACCTCCTCGCATATTCCATAACTTACTCATGAATCGCGAGCATAACCTGAATAATCCATCAAAGGGAATCACAGAGTGCCTCCATTAAATTAGCCACCTCGTCTTGAAGAGCTTTAAAGACCTTGGCATGGTCCTCTATCTTCTAAAGAAGGGCTTCCTGATTTTCCTCCACTTGACAAGTTTTATCCTCAATAGAATCAGAAGCAACCTAATATTGTTTCTTTACATCATTGAGGGAATCTTCCAGCTTAGTCGCTCGAGCTGGAAGTTTTAACCTCCACCCACATGGCAATAAGCTACTTTTGGATAGTAGAACACTTCAACTCCATAATTTTAGCTTTCCATTTCTAATTCATATCCCCGTCCAGTAGAGAAAAGATAGAAGTAGCTTTGAGCATGCTATGGGCAAGCCCAAGGGTTAATTCAGTCTTTTCCCCATCAGATAGATTATGAACAAAGGATAAATCTGACGTTTAAATAGTAGTGGAAAATTCCTAAGAAGTTTGAGAAAACCAAGAAGAGAAGATATCTGACATCCTCGTAAATGGATTTATCTCCCCGGAAGCACCACCATCAGCAACCCATGTTTGTTTTAGAGATCCCTCATTCTGGAGGGATTGTTGTTCCTCATCTTGAGCCATCTTTATTGAAACTGGAGGCGAAGTTGAGTTTTCTACAGTTAATGTGGCCATAACGTTAACAAGTTGATCCACCTCAGGATCAAGAGTATGAAACTTCATAGATGGTGTAAGCAAATGGGTTGAAGTAGGAACAATGGCCGCCTGATGAGC